TTGCTCACAAAGAATCTCAAATAAGGTATCGCAAATTCGCAAAGCTAAATGGATTGAACAACTTTTGATCGGTGCATGAGCACATATAGCCGTTTTTACTTTTCAATGAAATTAATAGAAAAATGATAAATTTTGCACAAATTGTGGCCTGAAATTAATATTATTAGTTTTGCTTTTAAATACTGGGCGAGTTTACTACAAGCTGACATTGTTGTTCTCTCCGTTAATTATACTTACGTCCGGCGGATTCTAAACATTTAATCCACTTACGAGGGATGAAAAAATAATCGTTTTATGCATATAAAGGGCCAGGATGTGTTTTTGAAAGTATGTTTTACGGTCTGAGTGGCAGCCTGGTTCTGTATCTTACGTTGAAACAACGTTGTGTCGTAATTGGAAGAAGACCTATCTCAATTTGTGATCCACATCCCACGCAGCTGTCGCTGAAAACGGCGACAAGTTATTAATTTTTAACGAGTTTTCCTGCGTCGTGTCCTTGTTTCAGCCACTTAATTTTGACGTTGATATTTTCTCACCCACACGAGACTCTGCCTCTGCCGAAAACTTTGACGAAACGAGCTAATAAGCCTGCTCGATTATGAGGTAAAACGTTAATCTGCAGTGATACATTCACAATAAATACAATCTGGAAATGCGTCGCAAAAGATTCAGATTCCAAACAGGTAGGAGTAAAAATTTAAAATAGGAAACAACGGATTTTGAAAGCAATAAAAGATTCATTGAGAAATATTATCAGCGTTTTTTTATTAGTTCAATTATCAGAAAACTGAAAAATACTTGAATAGTTTTTTTGAAATCAAGTTGAGAGCTCCTGATTCTGGGAAAAACACTATCAGCCGTAAGGTGCCCCAACCATGAAATAAGAAAAAATCATTGATTTTTTGGTCGGTGCTCGATGCATGTGGCTATGTAGAATAAGAGTAAAATAAGTATGACTCTTTCATAATCCTTGAAAGTAGCAATAGTGAGTTTTACCGTTGCGATTTTAAAGCTTGCATCAAATGATCTTTATTAAATAACAGCTTAAAAAAGGGCATTAATATGTGAAAGACATTGTCGCCATTGAATTGTAAGCCTCAATCACCTTCTCTGCCTTTTTCAGATCAATTCGGCCCGTTGCTCAATACAATTATCTCGACAGATTGCATTTTGCCTACTTTATCAAATGAGAGCGAATGTAAATCAATCTCGCCTACGAACGCAACAATATGAACCTTCGATGATGATGTCTGATGGTGCATCAGGTGTCATCGGGGACTTCGTTAAAGGCATGAGATTTCACATCAACATACAAGGCACATTATCGCACGGCTACTCTGTTAGACTGTTAATTAAATCCGATCCATTTGCAACACACAATATTTGCAAACTTGAGCCGTAAATGCAGGCATTGACATACATTTGAAACCCATACGGCTTATGCGAGGCCAAGATCACTCATCATTACCGCCGTCGTGTTCAGTTGCTTCGTGTAAAATTGATTGCGAACACAGGCCAATTATTTAACCACCTATTTTTTACGTAAAATTTTAGAAGTAAAACACAAAGCCACTGCATTTATCTAAAGTTAACTTTCAACTGTAAAAAAGATGTGTTCAAATATTGAGGCCGTAGTGTAAGAGTATCATCGTGCCATGAAAAAGTGCATTATAGTCAGTCAAACTCTCCATGCAGAGATGTGAGTAATTTTCTTAGCTAAGTTGCCACTCTTTGAAGAGACATTTTAATTTTTTACAAGAAAACGATTGTGTAGATTTTTGTGCAAAATTCAGTAAATTTTCTGCGTAGTGCAAATTCCTTTAAATTTTTCAAGGAATCTGCACAAAAGATCTCTTGTGAGAAATTAAATTGCCCAATTAAATTCGGCAACAGCTGATGTGGCTTGGTTCCTTTCTGCTCAACGTGGTCCATTTCACCTTGTTCCAAAACTACAATAGAGAAACGCCCGCCCACAGTTAGGCTCGTAGGTGTCACACTCACGAGCGCCTTCAACTACATATGCATACAACTATTCATACTCCGAATACAACTATTCGTACTCAATGGACGTCCGTGTTGCATACGTCTAAATTGAAGGCGCTAGGATTGTCCTGGCCGTACACACCGTGCAGTTATTATCGTACATTATTACATGTAAACGGTTGTGCGGATTTTTGTGCAAATTTTAGTAAATTTTCTACACAGTACAAAGCAAATTCCTTTAAAGTTTCGAAGGGATACGCACAAACGTTCTCTTGTAACAAATTAAATTGCCTTGTTACATTTGGCAACAGCTGATGCGGGTTGGTTCTTTTTTCCTCGATACGGTCCATTTTTCTTTCCTATATGGATTGCATTTTGCAAAAAGGAACCACTAGCATTGCTATGATGCTAAGATTGTGCAACTTCATCCTTTGCAATAAAATTGCGGAAATCGTGAAAAACTATGAAATTTAGATGGTAATTTTTGTCTTAAATTTACAGTTTTTAGCGAGTAAAATAGAAACTATTAAGGGATAGTCGGGTTTTTCCTCCATGACAAAAGAAGTTGCACAATTTTAGCAACATTGCAATGCTAGTGGTTCCTTTTTGCAAAATGCAATCCATATATGAATTTGACTCATTGGGTGCTACTGCATCTCCGATTAATACTTCCCCACTGTAACTTTGTCGTAAGTTCCGCGGGAAAAACGGTCGAGCGGCAACAGTGGGAATCTCTTCAGGAGTGGTTATTAATTAAACGGCAGGAATAATGCAGTTGGATAGCAAAGGAGTGAACTTTGAGTGTCGTTTTCGTAATGAGCGGCCGTTCCAGCATTCATCGCAGACCCCTCCGTTTCGAGCCGGTTGCCGCGCTACCGAACACTCAGGTGAAACTTTACAGGGATATTTACGTATTTTTGTCCCGCGTGGCAACTCGCTCCCGGGATTAATACAGCCGGTTATTATTAGGCTCGTTTTGACTCGGTTCTGGCTACGACGCGAATAAATTCCCCCCTCTTCCGCTCGCCCCTCGA